CCAATATTATCATAGAGCAGATGCTTCTTCTGTCACTCTGGCATGGGCTTTGTGGAGAGAGTCCCCCTCTTCTTTTCTTTGGTCTCCACTGGTGACTCTCCTTGTGTCAATGTACTCCAGTGGCTAGTGGACCATCTGTGTGGTGGTTGTGGCATCTAGCTGCTTTCATGGCAGCTGTGGTTATTGTGGTGGCTGTGGTGGGCCACCCACATGGAGGTGATGTTTTTGGCATGCTCCTTGGTGCTGGCAGTGTGCCTGGTTGTGGGGGTGGGATCTGGTCCTCAGCTTCATGCCTCAGGTCCCCTGGTGGGCTCCGAGGCACTGGTGGTGTGCCTGGACCAAAACTAATTTTTTGTCCTTTGCTTACTTCTAAAAGGGGGGAACTTCCTGTGGCAACCAGTACTTGAGCTGTGTGGTTGAGCTAAATTGTTGCTTTGCTGCTGTTTCCATAGGGAAGGCTTTTTGTGCAGCTCAGGGTTATAATGGTTGACCTTATAGGTACTTCTCCAGAGACAGGGTGTACCTGGGTTGTATAGAAACTCTGATCTGGGCCTGAGTCTTTTCATCTAACTGCACCCCATGCAATTCTATATTCCTGACCAGTCTCCTCTGAGTGGTCCAACGCTGACTGGGGCGTGGATCGGCTGTCCTTGCTGTGTTCCAGTGTTCTCCTAGTGGGCCCATCTCCCCCACCACCCATGCTCCAAACACTTCCCATGGGATGGGCTGTTCACCAGTCCCTTGTGATGACTCACCAGCCTCTGAGTGGCCTTTTTTTCAGTTGTTGTGGCTCCTTGCTCCTGTGTGAATCCATGGGAGCCCTGTTAGTGGTTTTGCTGTTCTGGGGGCCACCAAGGCCCCCTTCTCCCCTGCCGCCTCCAAGCAACTTCATCCAAAGGGCACAGCCAGCTCCTGCTCCATGCACTCAGCAGCTCTAGCCTTAAAGCAGCCATGGCATGAAATGCTCCGAGCAGTTTTTTTGTTCTCTTACTGCCTTCATACATTCTGTACGTCTCTCCTCCTCTTCCCCTGAGCTCTAGCAGCCCCAGCTTGGCTGTTGTTGCTTTTTTATAGTTGTAAATTGGTTAATTTGTGGGAGAGAGTGACGCTGGGGACCATCTATTCCACCATCTTGACCAGAACCCTCTGTCTCTTTTTTTAACAGCTCTGAGTACTAGACTTAAACTAGTTCATTTGTAGGATGTGGGGAAGTGCTTTAGGAAAGACTAAAATGTACTGAACACCTACTACATATCATGTACTGGACTGGTGGCTTCATATTTATTATCTGTTCATGTGTTCTCTATCCTTCAGAATTGTTAAAGGATTTTCACTGCTTTTTGATGATTTCCTTTTTTGCCAATTTTCTCCTTCCCAATCTCTCCAGAGTGTTCCCCCTCTGCTTACCCCCTCCCCAACACCAAAGCAGACACACAACAGAAACTTCCCATCAGTTTCCATGAATAGAAGTGGGGTTTTCCATTTCCAACTATCCACTCATTAAAATAAATAAATTTTTCCTTCCTGCACCTCCCCCTCCTTCCTCCCTGCTCCCATTGGACTTAGAGTGAAGACAGAAGTGAGCCTCAAGACATACAGAACCTGGTGGTGCTTTAAGGAATAACCATTTGATTTTGGTGATTTTCAGTCTTTTACCCTTTTCTACTTGATGTCGTAGGCCCCACTTAACATTTTATGATTGGACCCTGTACCAGCCAACCACCACCAAACACACACACACACACACACACAATTTTATGATTAAGGCACCTGTTTTGTACTAGATCCAAAGATCAATTAAAAATAGAAATATCGGGCCGGCCCGGTGGCGCACTGCTACAGTGTGCTGCTTGGGAAGTGCGGTGGCGCTCCCGCCGAGGGTTCGGATCCCACATACAGACCAGCCGCTCACTGGCTGAGCGAGGTGCGGGAGCAACACCGAGGGTTGCGATCCCGTAGCCGGTCCCGGTCCGGTACGGGCGCGACACTGAGGGTTGCAATCCGTTGCCGGGCACGAAAAAAAGACAAAAAGGAAAAAAAAAGAAAAAGAAATATCCCTTATTATTAAGGAATTTGCATTCTAATAGGGGAGATAAGACTTGCCAGGATATCTCTAGTTTACAGTGTTTGATCAAGGTCCTAATAATTCTTCCTTTGATCTGTCTCTTCCTTTCTATTCTCACTTCAGCCTGTTGGTATTTTGATTTTACCAAGTGTGTCTGCATTTTCCAATATCTCTTCAAATTTCCTCTTGTTTGGAATATGAGAGAATTACAACCCTAATGATACTTCACTGAGAGAGTCATTGTAATCAGAGCATTAAGCAAACTCACAAATTATAATTTTCTCTGGGAATTGTAATTAGGAAGTATGGATATTGAGTGATGTAATCATTTTTTTTCTGCTGCTGCATTTATGGGATATTTTGTTTATTCTCGTTCAAACATTTAGTAAAGAGAAAGAGCCCTGCAGACCAACCTAATGAATCTGTTCTAATGTACCTAATGAATCGGTCTTGAAAGTGACTCTTTTCTCCCCAGCTTCATTAGGGAGGCTCTGTTGATTCAAAATCTTTTAAGTGATTTTCCTGACACTTTCCCCTCCCCCCATATTCTCCATTTAGTTGAGCAACTTGCATCTTAAGGAAGAGAAAATCAAACCAGATGCCAATGGTGAGTAACTAAAAGCTAGTTTGAAAACAAATGCGATTTCCTTTAGTATTTCTATTTTGGCGTAACAACTGTCCGGGGAAAAAAATTGTACCAGACGGGTTTGGCAGATACTGGTAGTTGTTTGATTTGTGAATCAACAAACTGGATTGTATGACCAACGTGTATTTAATGTAAGAATGAGGATACCTAATTGGCTTATAAATTATTAAATTTATTACTATGGGACTGTACTGCGAAAGATTGCTTTTCAAATGTTTCTCAATTTGAGATAAGATAGACAAAGTATGAGCATCCTGAGAGTTTACCTATTCTAATTATTCTGAAATCATATCTGTCAAAAATCTAAGATTTCCATTAAATGTTTATTGTTGTACTTAATATTATAGGAGGGAAATGTAACATTTACCTCACTCTGAATTCACTTACAGTTTTTTTCTGTATATTTTCACATAACTGCAACATTGTTTTACTATATATTTCTATTAGTCAACAGTTTATATTAAAATATTTATATACATAGAATGTTAATGACAATATTATGTTCACATATTGATAAAATATGATTTGCATAGATATTCTTCTGTTGAGCATCAAGATGGTTTCTGATCATTGCTGTAATCATCTTGCTGTAATATTTCAGAAATAACTGATGCTAAAAGGGAAATAAATATTAGTTTTTGAGGTAGGGTGAGGAGACCTGGAATAGGAAAGAATTGAAATACTATAAGCAACAGTGTTTCATACCTTTGTTTATTTAGGAACAATAAAATGTTTTTATCAGTGGCTTGGTTTCCTCATTTATTTTATGCTCCCCAGGCCTTTACACTTCTAATGTCGTAAAATTTGAATTGTCTCAACTATTGGGTGTGGGATGTGTTTTTGAATGATGGCCACTTTGTGTCTGATAAAGGTGCTGTTGTCAAGACCAATGCTAATGCAGAGAAGGCAGATGAAGAAGAGAAAGGTAATACAGTCTTAGAGCTATAAATGAGGTTCTTCATTCTAAGAAAATGGATTGTTAGGAAGCTTCATTTTTGTACCCAACTTGGCTTGACTTTAATAGGAGTCACAGTGCTACTATAGAAGTTCAACATAATCAATAGGTGAGGGCTGGCCAGTTAGCTTACTTGAGAGAGCACGGTGCTGATAACACTGAGGTCAAGGGTTTGGATCCCCCTACCAGCCAGCCACCAAAAAAAAGTTAATAATAATAATAATCAGTAGGTGAAGGAATTCTAATTGTTTACATTTTAGAGAAATTTTACATTGAACAACTGATGAACTTCAGCAGCAGCAGGAAATATTCCCTGAATGATTATCTTGTACTAGGCATTATAAAAGAAATTTTAAGTTGCATCCCCATTGTCTAATAAAATTCAACTTAATGATATTTTGACACATTTAACATGGATGACAAGATGTGAACAGCTTATACGATGTCATTAGACAGACTTTGTTAACTCCCTTATTTTTCACTGTTGCAATTTACATTTGTTAAGCTAACAATTTTAGTTTATATTGAGTGCAAATTGAGAGCAAATATTTGGGTCTATATAGGAGGAATAAATAACCTTAGGAAAGAAGGTCAGTTAGAATAGTATTTTGGAGAAGAATATGAGGCTCTAACTAGGGAAGTGAGTATCATAATCTTTCTCTTTAGTAAAACAAACTATTTTAATTATATTTATAAATCAAAACTATGATATACCTTGAATTAGAAAGACCAGTACAAATACATGCTATTACTTAAAATATCAGTGGCAATTGAATTCAGATGAACTCATGGTGGATTTCATGGACTTTTAAAAATCTTCGCTTTCTTTTGCCTGACAGAGGATAGAGCTGCCCAGTCCTTACTCAACAAGCTGATCAGAAGCAATCTTGTCGATAACACAAACCAAGTGGAAGTCCTGCAGCGGGATCCAAACTCCCCCCTCTACTCGGTGAAGTCTTTTGAAGAGCTTCGGCTGTGAGTACTTGTTTACTTTGCTTTTAGAGAGCCTAGGCCTATTAAATTTTTCAACTATGAGTATTTGTTTCCACTTTGCATTTAGAGAGCCTAGTCTTGTTATATGTTTTCATCACAGCAGAACATTTTTAGTTAACACAAGCTGGATGAAATAATTTAGCTGCTTTGGAGTATTAGGTAAAGTTTCCAGGTAATCTATAAAAGCTTTAGCTGCACTCACACATTGTGTTCAGTTCAGCACAACTCAATTATTGTCATTTATAAACTATGTGATGTAACAGTAAAAAAGAGAAAAAATTCCCCAGATATTTTGCTGCTTTCCTCAACCAAAGCGACTGTGACTCTCATGTTAAACTTTCTCTAGGAAACCACAGCTTCTCCAGGGAGTCTATGCCATGGGTTTCAACCGTCCATCCAAGATACAAGAGAACGCATTGCCTTTGATGCTTGCTGAACCGTATGTATCCTGATATACAACTCTATTCCATTTTTAATTTTCTTTCTTTTTTTTTTTTCCTCCCCTATAAAAAGATGACTGGTAAGGGGATCTTAACCCTTGACTTGGTGTTGTCAGCACGACTCCCAAGTGAGCTAACCGGCCATCCCTATATAGGGATCTGAACCCGTGGCCTTGGTGTTATCAGCACCACACTCTCCCAAGTGAGCCACAGGTCGGCTCTCCATTTTTAATTTTCTGATTTTTTGAATTTTTTTATTTTAAAAAGTTATACTAGTAATACAAGTATACTCATACGTGCTTTTTGTAGAAAAGTTAGAAAACAGTGAGAAATAGACAAAAGAAATTATCTGTAATCTCCTTCTAATTTTTTGAATTTTTTTATTTTAAAAAGTTATACTAGTAATACAAGTATACTCATACGTGCTCTTTGTAGAAAAGTTAGAAAACAGTGAGAAATAGACAAAAGAAATTATCTGTAATCTCCTTCTGCTCACACTATTAACATTTTGGAGTAGAGAATTCTAGACCTTCTATTTTTTTTTTTAGTTTTCTCTATATAAATATATATATGTATAATTTTTTAAATGAAACTATATGTAATGTTTTATACGTTGTGTTTTTAACTAAATTATTTGATTATCTTTCTATGTTGGTAAATACACATTTATATCATTCACATACACCATTATTTCCCTATATGGATATATAAAATTTATTATGTCAATTATAGTAGGCAGAAAACAAACAGTGTTCTAGAAGACCTTAATAGTACAACTACTAAGGTGGTTTTCTGGTGCAGTGCTTCTCCCACTTTCATACGCATGTGAATCTCATAGGATGTATTAAAAAGCAGATTCTGATTTCAGTAGGTCTCAGGTGGGGACTGAGGCTCAACATTTCTTTAATAAGCTTCCAGGTGATGCTGATGCTGCTGGTTTCAGATCACATTTTGAGTAACAAGGTTCTAGACCATGAGGAACTTTTTATAAAAATTGATCCCTATGTTATACATGATTATGTAAAATTTTACTGCATATGATCCTAAATTCTGAAACTGTTTTTTTCTATTTATCTAAAAATAGGTATGTATTTTCTCAAAGTTTTCTTTGTTTTGTGTCATAACAGTGATACTTTTTCCAGACAATGTCTTTTTTTTTTTTTAGCTTGGGACTTTGAGCATGCTTAAAGGTGAATAAATGGAGTATTTATTAGATGGTTTCACATTGATCACTTGTATTTGTGGATCATAATGCTTTCACAGATGCTTGCTTTTAGATTGTCAGCGTTAGAAAAGACCTAAGAAAATTATCTAGTACCTTTCTTCATTAACAAACATTAATTGATTGCCTGGTATATAACAGATACTGTGCTAGGCACTTGGATCCATTAGTGAATAAAGCAGACCAAAATTCCTACCCATAAGGAGCTTACATTCTAGTTTAGAGTACAGATAATTTACTTTTATTAAAAGTAAGTATAGGGCTGGCCCGTGGCTCACTTGGGAGAGTGTGGTGCTGACAACACCAGGTCAAGGGTTAA